AGAGAGAGAGAGAGAGAGAGAGAGAGAGAGAGAGAGAGAGAGAGAGAGAGAGTAGATCTTTCTCGAGGGGGGTGGGGGAAGGCCAAGGGAGGAGAGATCTGCTTAACAATAATGGCACTCTTATACTTGATCGATCAAGTGTCCCAAGGCTCTCTCAATTACACCATGTCAGCCCAGATCGCCTACGGAGGGGGGCCAAGGGGAAGGGAGGAGAGATCCGCTTAACAATAATGACACTCTTATACTTGATGGGGACTTCCAACAAGCGCCCCCAGGCTCTCTCAATTACACCATTTCAGCCCTGATCGCCTATGCAGCAGTCAAAATGAGCACGAATCTAGGCTACTGCTTTGCTGCTGTACTTTCCTTCATTATTGTGGGTGTAGCCGCAACAGGTCCCCTAGTTCAATATAATAGCCGTTGTACCTCATGAAAGCCACAGTTGCGTTCTGACCAAATCACACCTACCTGCGGAGGACAATGCAGCGGCCAAAACCACGGTCGAGGGAGCTCTTGTTCATCACTATGGCATCTTCAATATCATAGCCGCTGTAGCTCATGACAGCCACAGTTGCATTCTGACCAGCTCCTAGCTTGTCATATCCAACCTGCAAGTAGTCATTGAAGAGGAACCAGAAGACGTTCGGCAGTGAAAATATGCATTTTGGGGCAGTTATCATGAAAATTCAGTGTGCAAGTACAGTATTACATAGAGGCAACATGACAGTCTCATGGCCCTGGAAGGTAGAGCAATGGTGTAGGACACCCCATAGCGTCGTCCCCCACATACATACCACTGATACCATGATGGAGAGGAGTGTCTCAGGAGTCCATCAAGGTCCTTGTAACCGTGACAGTAGGTGTGCATGTACGTTGTAAATGTTCACCCAGCAACCATCTCCATTGCATCCTAAGAAACAAAGACCAGTTAACGCAATATAAACTGCACAGTTCTTCATGTTTGCGTGGTTGAGCACATAGTGCCCAAATATCTGTCCACTTCTTTCAGACTGGTACTCTAAAATAACCAATTATTGTCAGTGTGTGTTGTAGAGACATCAACATAACCACCCCCGCTCCGCCAGATTTGTAGTCGGCAGTGCTAGGCACCACCATCTGTGGTAATTGTCACACGCCCCAAGCAGAGGTCGGGCATGCTGGAAATCCAAGGTCAATCTCAGGGCAAGAGTGCGAAGAAAGGCACAGTGGACAAGTTGAAAGATGCAGAGACGTGAGGGAATGCATGCATGACACACCAAGAAGACAAGGTGTCCGAGAATCAACTGGCACACAAATACAAAGGGAGCATAAATTAAAGAAGACCACCCTGCTCAATCACAAGGAGCAGCAGGAGGAGGAGAAGGAGGAGGAGGAGGAGGAGAAGAAGAAGGATCCTCACGAAGAAGTTAAGCATGGCAATGCCAATACAACAGTCCTCTCTCTCTCTCTCTCTCTCTCTCTCTCTCTCTCTCTCTCTCTC